AATGTTTCTCAAAGTGATACTTTCCAGAATATGTTGGGTTCTTTATCAGCAGCAAGCCATGTGCTTGTTCAAAAAGCCGGAAAATGTGGACTGCATCCTATTGCCCCTGTGTAAGATGGATTGTGACGTGCAACTCCCGCCTCGAGCAAGCATTTCCAGCCTCCTTTAAATTGTAGGTAAAGAGAAGTGAGCGTCTCCAGGTCCCTTATCACCCTCTCAGCGAGGGAGGGATTCGAGGTGATAAGGTGCAGGGAAACAAAGCTCGACAACCCTTTGCTTGGCCCAGATTCTGAGCTTGTTGCTTTGGAAAGCTGGTTCGTTATCAGCTACTACAGCTTTTATGTCTTTGAAGATGTTTCTTTCCATGCACACCAGGGTTGTTCTTTCTGCATTCCTATACGGATATTGAACCATTTCCCGAGATTTCCGGCTAAATATTTCAGCATATTGAACATGCGATCCAAGTCTGAGCATCAAGAATGTTTTTTCACGGGCGTATTCATAATGGTCAAGCCATGTGTCATAATTTGAAGAGATGCCGTCAAATACTTCTGGCTCTATTTGGGCTCCGCCTTTACAGCGTGCTGCGAAGGCACCTAAAATGGCTTCTTGGCGTTGGGCTTGCCGACTTTGCAATTTGATAAGTTGAAAAAGCATGTCTGAGAATGCCCGAGTTGAAGGCAATGCCCTTGCGGCGACGCTAGGGCTATCACCGAGACCTTCTTTAGTCAAGCGCGTAACTCCTCGAGACTCATGTTAATTGTCGTGGTAGCTTTAGCGATGAAGTCACCCAGGGCTGTGTTGGCCTTGGAAGCAATGGTCCACAGTAGAGCTAGACTTGTTGCCTCATCTGGTTCAGACACAAAGTCTTCGCCATCGAGCTTGTAGCCTGTCACAATAGGCTGGCCATCACCCACATCCTGTCGTCTGCGTCAAACGTAAAAGTCTACGAAAGCAGTGTGCCTTTGGTCGTTTAATGATGCTACATGGTAGCCATCCTCTTCTGCCCGCCTGTCCTTTCACGGCCTTTGCTTTTTTGTCTTCATTGCTGTGCAGTTGTTTTTCAGTGTGAGGAACACTATAAGTTTTAATTTATTGTGATGTGCTGATTTGCTTTGTAACACTTGAGATAAGAAAAAAAATCTTGCTCCCGAAAGGCAACATGAAATGTCTATTTTTAACAAATACATATTATACTTGAAAAATAATTGGATATTTTAAGCTGGGACATGAACATGCATGAGCTCTGAAAGTTAAAAAATATTGGCAGATACCATGTGTATAGTTAAAATCGATGATATGCGAAGCCCGAATGAAAAAGGTTGATATGTGACTTTAATATCACCACGTTACGAGGTGGAAGTAAATTACGTCGTACACGACTTCAGTGTCATGATTATCATGTTTGGATGTGTCGTTTACCTTCGTCATCTATTCACGTCACGTGATGCCAAATTTAGTATATGTGGAGCTAGCGAAACGGCCGCGAGCACGCTATGAACGTGTTATGTTGTCATGTTCTTACATAACACGCGTGTCATGATTATCATGTTTGCACCAGTCATATACATTCATCATCTATTGATGTTACGTAACACCAAATTTGGTATATGTGGAACTAGCACTCTAACGTAACGTTGACACGCACGCACACTGGGCACAGCAACGCTACGTAAGCAAAACGCGAGCACTCTATACTCAGACGCCAGGCGCGACCAGCGTCCATCGGCGCGGCCTGACGGCAGCCAGCGCGAAATGCGTCATGCTGCATTTCACGCAGATGCATTACCCAGACAATACAGCGTCTGCCTGTTTTCGTGATGGAGAGACGCTGCATGCGCTGAAACGCGCACGCGTCAAAGCAACGACGCGCGCCTGCAAGCACATGGCAGGACCGGCGCCTGGCTTGGCAACGCCGGTGTGACGCAACGAAAGGAACGCGCGCCGGGTCACTTCTAAGTGTATTGGCACCTTGACTGTGGCATGCAGTCATCTTCTCACACGACATGCATCTTACGATTATCATGTTTGCACCAGTCACATACCCTCGTCATCCATTGACGTCCTGTAATACCAAATTTGGCATATGTATAGCTACAAAATGGCTGCGAGCACATCATGAGTGTGCCATGTAGTCATGTTGTTACACGATTATCATGTTTGGATAGGTGATTTACCTATGTCGTCCGTTCGCGTCACGTAATACCGAATTTGGCATATGGGAAGCTAGCGAAACAGCCGCGAGTGCATCATGAGCGTAGCATTTAGTCATGTTACATGACATGCATATTATGATTATCATGTTCGCACCAGTCACACACCTTTGTCATCCATTCACGTACCGTAATACCAAATTTGGTATATGTGACGATAGCGAAATGGCTGCGAGCACATCATGAGCACGGCATGTAGTCATGTTTTTACATGGCATGCATGTCATGATTTTCATGTTAGGGTCTGTCGTTTGTGTTTGCCATGTAATCATGTCATACCATAGCAGTTTTGCAGCATGTCATGTGAACGAAACCACCGCAAGAGCAGCAATACCATGAAATGTAAATCATGACATTTATGACATACATGTCATGATTTTCATGTTTTGACTAGTCAGATATGCACGTCATACAGTCATGTTATGCCATACCAAGTTTGGCATCGAAACCATTATCCAAACGACTAAGAGAGCTAAATGTCGCAGGCGGCTATATAGATGGATAGATAGATAGATACGCTCAAAGTCGCCGAAGTTCGCTAAGAAATGCTTCGCATTTAAAAAAAATTCATCCAGAAATGAGCAAGTGTGTTTCTAAAGCAAGGTCCCCACGGTTAAATGGAATTTCATGACAGTCAATGATGGCACAGGCAGTATATATGTTGCAAAAGGGCATCTGTGTGCTAGTCAGCACACTACAGGCAAATATTAAGTCGTCATTGGTGGCTGAAACAGCCACCCTAGAAAGGGAAAGAAGTCAGCCACCCATTTGTAGCTTGAAGCCACAAGTAATTCGGTACAGATTTCCTTGCGGCTTCGTGCTACAAACAGTGGTTTTCTTCTGTCCCTTTCAAAACCCTTCCGCCGCCTTGCGAGTTTCTGCAGAACTCATTTGTAACAGCAATCCAGAAATACCGTAGTGCTACTTTCGTGCGGCAGCTTGGGTTAGTTGGTTGGTGTCCTTCTTGTCTCTGTATCGTCGTTTTGTTCTCGCGCTATAACTATCGTCAGGCTATTTTCGTACCAAGAAAATGCTTAGTTGGACAGAAAAACATGTTTTACCGGCATATATAGTGCTTGCACACTTCCAGTCACCCGCCTAGAGATGGGCCTTTCCGACGTAACAGTTGCATTGCCCGAAGTTGCCCGCCTTTACTACACAGCCGCCGACTTATGCAAAAAGCTGTAGGGATGAAGGGTTACTCGACGATAGTGTCAACATTTTGTGATGCTTTGTGCGACCACAGTCATCAACACGTTTGTATTTGCCTAGTGTTTTTGAGGAGAAAAATATTAAAAAGGCAATTTATTCATGGTTATTATTTACGTAAGTGCAATGCATTCACTTCATATGTAAAATTCATAATGCTTCTGCAATAAAAATCTTGAGCTCGCCTGGATTAAGTGGGCCCCAGAAGATGGCACCACTTATCCAGCCTAACCAGGTGAAAACAAGCTTTTGAGCCACTTGCACCATTCCCCGTTGTAAAGCCAAGCGTTCTTTTTTCCCCCATGGATAAAATATACAAGGTGAAGCGGCACTTTATCACATGTTGTAATGCACAGAAGCTTCTTTTTTTATTGCAATCGGTTTGATTAGTAGTGGTTAATTGTAGTCGGACTTTTTGAGGTCATTGAAATAATTTCAAAAGGCCCCACTAGTGGCACGCACCATATTTACGCGATAGTAAGTCAATACGAATGAAGGTTGACCCCCCCCCTCAAATCACGTATCCCCCAAAAGAGAAAAAAAAAATGCCAGCGCAGTTCACACAAAAGAAATTTATTTGCGCTCAAGCTGCCCCTGCCGCATTACATGTTCACTAACTACAAACTCGAACAACTGCTCAGCGTCCTGCTGAGCAGTTGTTCGAATCCTCAACATGGAGGTTAGCTGCCCTTTTGAACGCTGCTGTGAACGAGCGCCGACAATTTTTCTGGTCCAGGGCACTCATGAGACCCATCGTGATTCAGCAAAACACAGCAGCACAAGTGACAAAAACACGCGGCTGCTTAAAAAATGCTATCGCAAAGAGAAGCTGTTTACTGGCTCTTCTGTCGACCACCAATACCCCTATCCAGGGAGCCCCGATCGTATTGCGTTGTGACATTGTTCAGTACACTTCCGGGCGCGACGGTGGGAGCGTTATCGCTCCAAGTACAGTGGCCAACTTCTTCCAATGTCGGCATAACCTTTATTGACGTCAAAGTGTATGCAATCCGGTAAATAATTACGCTACGCTTTCACCGTAACCATAGAAATGTAGGTGCAAAGTTGTAACAGCGGTGTAGCGCCCATGATTTCTTGTTTCTTTTGCTGTTTCTATCAGTACATGGTTCGGTTTCGATTGTAAGTGGACCCCCCCCCCCCCCCCCTTCCTGACATTGAATTGTCAAATTTGAAAAAGTGGGTTGACCTACAATTGCGCAAATACGGCATAGTGTCGCACAGTTTACCTTAATTTCTCAATAGGTAGAAAACTGCTGTTGATAATAATAACAATTTAGACATTCTCAAACAGAGATCTTGCACTCTGACGTAAATTGTTATTTGCCTTTAGGGGTGAGCGCTTGTGATGTGTTGGTCACTATTTCAACTATTGTCACACCCCAAAATTGCATCATATTTTGCTGGCATGGTCACCTCCACATAATCTGCATACAAAGCTTGTTTGTTTATAATGCCCAGAACTAGTGTGGGAGTGCTTGAACACTAAAAATATTGCAATTCCAACCCAGTATTGCAGAACAGGACTTGATTACAAAGAGGACAGTCATTACAACGAAGTTCACAGCTACCCACGCAAGGCGTACTAGCCCCACTTTTCTCATTTATTGCAACTTTTATTTTTTCAAATTTTGCGAAAGGCCATTCCTACATGGCAGATTAATGCAAACACAGTATGTTAGCCAAACAATGTGTACAGCACGTAAGCTCTCAACGCTTCCCTCTACCAGTGTTTTTTCTCGTGAAACATTTACGAGTGATGGCGATACGATCAGGTGGTCATCGCTTAAGTCACCATTTCATGTCTTGTCTTGCATGTCATGCCTTGCAGATGACATGGCAGTACTGGTAGCTTTTTGCCGGTTGACCTGACAGGTAGCCTCAGGCAGAGTGTATCTAGTGCAAGGACACCACTTAAGGTTGCAAGAGTAGTGCTCAACTTCTTGCAAATAAACTCACTACAGGTTCCTTTTAGACAGGCTGGTGAACTTTCCACAAACAGGGACAACTGGCCCACTTATGACAATTAGGAAAACATTATAGAAAAAAAAAAACAGATGGTCTGCAAAAAGCAGTACACTCAAACCTCCAACGAACCCAGATATAACAAACTATCAATTATAACAAAGTAAATGAAGAATAGTCTTGCAGTGAATATAGTGTTACAAACATACCTTTATGATGAATATTTGAATAAACAAACTTATTTTACTGTAAAATGCAACTTTGTTATTATGAGGCTTCAGTGTATGTTGCAACACTGAAGAGCTTAGCCGTACGATGTTCACAATAAGAATGCGCAATACCATGAAAAAAATAGCTCACTGTAAACGACACAAGTTAAATTCACTCAAGATACAGTACAAATAACATTCAATTAGCTGAAAATGCAACAAAAGGGATGATTGATTTCTCGTGCATGAAAAGCGAAATATGACTGAACAAATGAGACACTAGTAATATTATACAATCCCCACTGCATCAGAGCCCCTCGAACTCACTCTGCAAAATGGTTGATGAATCTAGAATCAGCAGTCAATGACTACGTATAAACTTATTGCTTACACCGTAGCTCTTGCTGCCGCACATAGTTGAAACGATATACAGTAGACTGTTATTAAACGGAACTTGAAGGAACCAGTAAAATGTGTTCCGTTTAACAGGAGCTCTGGTTACTGAGAGATGAACAGGGGCACACAATGCGAGAACGAAACAAATCTTGTCAGAAGCATTTGTTCTATTTAAGCAGCAATTCCATTAAACAGATTTCCGCTTACTGAGAGTCTACTGTATATGAATACCATAACAGTGCATTACAAAGATGCAACCCTGCTATAGCTCATGCATTAAATCGAGAATACATAACTTATTTACGTTGTCGCAGAAATGATGGCTACATAACCGCGGACATTGTTAATGCTCAAAATATACACACGACGTGAGTGGCTTAACAGCACAAAATAAAGAACTGTAACATCTATTCTACAGTGGCTCTCTAAAGGTGCACACATTCCCCCGATTGACAGTTCTTGTGTCATAAATAGCTAACTGGCAGTGTGGTGGAACAATACAGGCAACTCAAATGCCTGCTCCACAAGCACCAGGGGAAGGCGTGCCGGCAAGAGTCGCATCGCTGCTGATGCATAACGCCGGCATACGGAGTGCTGGTTCACAGTTTTTTTTTTCTTTCTTTTCATCGGTCACGTAGATGAACCTGTCACGAAAAAGGCAACCAAGGAAATTGTTCATCATGCTGATTACACTAGTACACAGCTAGAGCAGAATCTGGTTATATCAATTTTCAACTGGTATGAGTTATATCAGTCATACAGTCATACCAGGGTATATGTACCAGGGGATATGCGAAAGCGAAGAAGCTGTAATGTGCTTCGTTGCAAGCAACGAATCACATCTGCCACTGGCTCCCAAGAACTGCGAATAGGCACCTTGCGCATCGGCAGCGGTAGCAGCGGCCAGTGATTTCATGCGTCGGCGTCCCAACACGCAAGACCAAATACGCCGTGCGCTGAGTTTTCGTCACCACAGATTGGCGTAATTAATTATTAATGGACTGGAGATCGGTGGCCTTTGTTCTTAAATCGGTACGCCAACAACCGCAGCGCTATTCCCGTCCCGAAAAAATGTCAAGCGATGTATTAAGTCGGAAGTTATAGAATTTGGGATGTCTGTGGTAGAAAAAAAAAAAAAACGCTGTAAGGGAGTCCTGAACACCTAGCTGGCCTCACATTTCAGCCAATTATATCTGAATGTTTGTTGGATAGAATCTGTAGTAAACGAACCTCAGTCAATAAATAAAACAAGTAGAGAGGTCAACATAACACCGCCAATTATTATATACTATTTGAATGTCTGCTACAAGAAGATCCGTTGTAACGAGGTTACACTGTACTGCCAAAAGTAACCAGTCGCCCCGTCTCAGCTGTGGAGGCACTGGAATTGTTCAAAAGGCCAGGAAACTGCACATGTTCAAAGAACCTTTCCCGCTCAGTGGGCATGAGCAAACATGCCAGTCAATGTTGCATGGTTTTTCCAAGCACCTAGCATTAAAATAAATTTTTTTACCACCAAATAAATTTTACTTTTCCGGGTATTGTGCTCCCCGAATCGTACGCTTGTTTCCTACGGCTCCTTTAGAAATGTACCAGCAGGTTTGTACTACATAAGGTATAACGAGCGTGTTAAGGTAGTCAAGTTGTGACATCGTTTCCGTTACCAAGTTAGAAGGTTATAAAAAAGACATGCAGGCGTAATCTCATTTTGCAATTTTCAAATAGGAAAACAAAGGTTAGAGCAGGCATTGAAAGCCCAGTTTTTACAGTCACTAAATTATGAGTGTTCGCTGCTCATGCGAGCCACGCCAGCAACGTAAAGGGTCACAAAGCCTTACCCTTAGCAGTAGATGCACTCCTATTTATGCGGCACTTCATGACTACAGTCTTAAAGGAGACGCCTGTTCCCTTATGCTTGGAAGAGAAGTGGTTCACCAGGGAAGGTTTGTTCAGACAGCTGTACGAACACTGGCTGCAGAACAATTCGGACACCACTGTGCGCTGTGGCGACTCATCCTTGGAAGTCCCTGCAGAATCTGCAAAGCCACACAGCGCACACTGACACATACTGCAATTCTATGCTCTTGCACATTTAATGTTAGGGTAAAAACAAAGTGTTACCCAAAAAACGGCATGAAGGAGAAGACAGAAGCTTGGCGATGAAAAATCCGTAAGATGGGTTGTGTGGAGCCGACGTTTCGACAAGGAGGTTTGTCTTTCTCGCGGCTAGAAGAGAACTGGTTTCTTTAGTGCTAACGTGTCTACGCTTCATACCCTCTCCTCCATCCTAACAAAGGAGGGGGAGGGGCATTGTTGCACGCACGGTTATGAGAGTGGAGGAGGGGGGGTGCCGTGATGAATTGTATGAGTGAAAAAGGAGCAACTGTTCTGTGAAAAAAAAAAAATCACAGCATATTCACAAGGTAATGATGGCGAGTGGGTGAAACTCAGGGGGATCATTAACCTCCGTGCACTCATTTTATCTTTCCTTGTTTTTTTTTCTTTTATAGTTAAGTGTACTCTATTACCATGAGAGATATAGGGAGCGCCGGGAGCGAGCGAGTCCTGCTTCAAGCTTCAGATGAGAAACTACAAATTACATGTGCAAAGGCCAGAGAATTAAGATAGTAAGCAACCTACGTATTTTGACCTAAGTTTACAGCAGCACTGCCTACAGATTGGTGTGGTTTCCTCATTAGGTTCAAAAACCATTTCAGCACCAGTTTAAAATAGATAGACTACACGAATGAGCAAGTTACAAAAAAAAAATAGTGCAAACATCAATGGCTTCATGCAAAACTTGGCCCCAGCACCTACCTATGTGGTCTTCCGATGTGTACCTGTACATACAGTAAGACACACAAGTTTGCGGACAAGTCTCCCGTGAAAATGTTGAAATATGGCCAACCGCAGAGTAATGAATTAAGTGATGCACGATTTTCCCAAGCAAAAAATATACTTTACCAGTAAAAAAGCTTGCTCTAATTGGACATCTATGCATTTACTATATTTGCACAACGTAGCACCGAAGCACACTCAACTTATCAACAGCAGTAACTTGTAGCCCTATCTTGTCTTGTATGAAAGCCTTAACAAAACTATATCAACAGGGATACGATGTTGGTTTTAGGCGGTATACACCTCTAACGCTCCTATATTTAAACATTCGACACAACAAAACCTTTTTTTCTGCCTCCAAGCATTTCAGCAATTCATAGCTCATTCTGGTTGAATTACTATGAGTGTACACGTAGCGGTGGGCTTAAAAATAGTCTTCTAATTAGAGTTGAACGCCCAATTATACAACTCTGAGAGACCACGATAAACTATCATATACCTAATCCAGTCACCACATACCGTAATTACTCGAATCTAATGCGCACCTTTTTTCCGGTTAAGCGAGTTCATAAATCGCATGCGCGTTAGAATCGAGTGCAAAAAAAAATTAATACGGTCATTCTATTGCCATCGGCAGTTCCAAAATGGCCGCCCCCTCCATGCGTCGGCATGGCGCGTCAACCATTTCTGTCTATGTGTTTCCCATGTTCGGCACTTCGTACGTGTGTTGAGGAGTTTGTCATCTTGTAGTGCATTAGCATCGACGGAATAGAAGGGCCGAGTCCAAAAACTCGACGAGTGCACCACGATGCCGCTTTTAAAAGAAAAGTCATCGCGTGTGCCGAAACGGACGGAAATCGGGCCGCATCGCGTTCGGAGTTCCTGAAATGTGCGTGCGGGACTGGCGGAAACAAAAGCAGAATATTGTCGACAGCAAAGATTCACGCAAAGGCTTCAGTGGACCACAGCAGGGTCGGTTTCCGCAAATTGAAGAGCTGCTCGGCGAGTATGTGCTTGAGCAGCGAGCGGCACAGCGGCCCGTGACGACAGAACTGCTCCAAGTGCGGGCTATGCAATTAGTCTTAGAAAACGGTCTAATGCGGAGCCAGTTTAAAGCGAGCAGGAGCCGGTTAACTAACTTTATGAAGAGGAAAGGCTTTTCCCTCTGAAGGCAAACGGGCATATGCCAAAAGTTGCCGGAGGAGTACGAAAAAAAGCTTCACAGTTTTCAGAGGTTCGTCTAAACTTGCGGCACAGCAACGACTATTTGCTTGGGCAAATCGGGAATGCCGATCAGACGCCTCTTTACTTCGACATGCCTGGCACCACAACGGTCGAGAAGAAGGGGGCAAAGCTAGTTGGCGTGCTGACATCGGGCCACAGTAAAACTAGAGTGACGGCAATGCTCCGTTGCACATCAGATAGGCACAAGCTTCCCCCGTACCTCATATTTAAACGGAAGACGCTCCCGAAAGGAGTCGTTTTCCTGAGTAGTGTGATCGTGCAGGCAGACGAGAAAAATGGGTGCGCAATGCAATCGATGTCTTACTTTCTTTTTTTCGTCGTGGAAACCGGGTGCGCGTTACAGTCGAGGGCGCGGTAGAATCAATTAAATACGGTAATTTAAATAGCAAAAAATATGGGCAATAAACACAAATGTGCGATGCAAGTTAGTGAAAACTGTGTTCATTTAGAGCAAGAATGAGCCAGCGCAATCGACCCAGTCATGGCCATCAGTTCACCAGGAAAATTGCTTCATGTTCATTTGCATTTTCAACTGCATTGGTTGCAGGTCTTTAGAACCGTGTCATCGCTATCTGCTATCGCACTATTGGCGACCCAAGCTTCATAGACTGTGGCAAACTAGTTTCACACATGAACTGCATGACCACTATTGATGATCCCATTGATAACGACCGTGGGTTTATCTATAGTGTCTGTAGTTTTCTTTTCACCGCATGCCTTAAGAATTCGGTCAGTAACCATCTACGACACTGCCTCAGCGAGCTAGATCTTTTTTCCTCATGATTTGGAGCGTGTCGGCTGTTTTTAACGTGAAGGCTCTAATTGCGCTTCTAGCAGTCAGTTTTATCTGCGACAAGAGTGCAGTGCTCAGTAGTTTTGATTCTGCGTGCATTCAATGCTGCGCCTATGATTGCGTAGTTAGTAACCAGTTTGCTACTTGGTGGGTTCAGCTCTCAGCATGAGTTTCGTTTTAACTCGTTGCAATTTCACAAACTTCGAACATGGTGGAAGCTGTTGAAGATGAAAAGCGTTTCTGCTGCGGTCCTCGTGCTGGCATAAAACTTGCCTGCTCGCATGCAATGAACTAATAGCCTGCTGCCGGCCATATTGCCGCTGAAAAAACTGTCATAATGTGCACATATCCATGTTAGTGCCGGCAGTACGCGACAAGGGCGGAATGCAGAGAAAGTTTCGGATTAACTTAGACAGTGGGATCTTGCACCAATTACAATGTGGCAGACGTCACAGGATGACAAGAACTATGGCGTTTAGACTGTTCATATGCATAATAAGAATACGATCTGCAAACTTATTCAGAAAAGTAAAAATGCATTGAAGTCGTAGACATTTGTTTGTTGTTTTCATGATACTCTCAAATTCTGTTAACTAGAACATATCTTCCAATCTGAAATCCCAAATAATGAGGCTTTACTGTACAGGCTTTGTAGCCTGTTTAAATTGGTTCTCTCTTGCTTGTCCCGTTACTCTTATTCTGCCTATGCACAAATGGCACACAGCACTAAGTCAGGCGACCTGTGTCACCTTTTTCCTTGGCACCACAACAACCATGTAATTATGCATTGTTACGCTATAAAGATCACACATCTGATGACTGGCTATTCCAAATCACTGCCTGCAACCACAACTCACCTGCATCGCCGTCTTCAATTCTGGTCAGGACCACCATTGGAATAGGACATGACATCTTGTTCTCGAGCGAGTTCTCCGAGACCCAGATGTCCCATCGACAAGAGTCGTCTGCGGAACACTTCGGAGTCCAGTTGCCTGCCTCCAGCTTGTACAGTGGCGTGCAGTAAACTGTTAGACTGTTTGGGGCAGCTTCCGCAGATGGTGTGCTGCTATTGCTGCTGTTGTCGCTGTTAGCTGCCCCCGTCCTCCAGGAGCCTTTTGGTCGGCCCCACAGGCGGCGCCGAAGTTTCTGGCCATTGGCTTGACTTTTTCTTGGGACATAATCCTCGTCCCTTTCTAACATAAAAAACCAGCAACGATTATGCCAGTGCAACTTGAAAGTTTGAGTGAATATTGCACACAGAAATATTTTCTCGCTTCCATTTTTTCCACTCCTTATTAGTGCGTGAATGAGGCCCCTCACCAAATTTGCTATGGAGACGAGAAGGCTGATTGGCCAACCAAAGCAATGACCTACGTCATCGGGAGAAGTCACAAACATGGCAACGAATCTAGAACCATGGATTCATGCTGTGTGAAATGTCCCATCACACAATTTACATTAACATGGCGATGAGGCAGGCTCACAAGAACCTTTAGGCAACCACTCTTTCACTTACTGGACACCCCCGTCCCAAACCTGAGCAACATTTACACTATTACCGAGGAACAAATATGAAACTTAGTTGTGAGATGACAGAAAGGTTTGATGTGCAACTTATCTTGCTTGACGGAGTGCTCACAATTCAGTTAGGCCATAGACGATGCGTATTTGATTAACTTAGAAGAGTGTTTTTGAATGCAAGCGGCCACTGCTAATGCCATTAATTAACTGGCCTGCTTGACCTTGCAGCGACGCTTTTTTCATTTGTGTTGGTCGACAGCCACCCTTAAGCACTGCTAAGCATGACAGATGTTGCGTTTCATATTATGATTATTAGGTATGCTCAAGGCCACAAAGAAGCATGCTTTAATACTTCGCAACTTGAAGGCAATAACACCCAAATTATAGCAACTGCTTTGCAGAAAGCTGACAAAACAGGTTTCAATATTCACCTAGTGCTCCTACTTCATTTACGCCTACTTATTTATCTGTTTACTTCCTCATGGTGTGGCTCAAGTGGTCTACAACAAGTGTGCAATTACGGTACAGAAAAAAAAAGCAAGCATAGCCCACAACATTGAAATCTGTGCTGTGCAATGTTGATATGCGTGAGTTAAACTCCTTTTACACGGCATGTGTAATGTCATTATTGCGATTTAGCATTCCGGGCCGTTGCTTGTGAATCACATTGCCACAATATAGACAGCTTGCATGTGCTGTCATGGAGGCACAACATGGCGGCTTAGATGGCACTAGGACAGTGCGATCGTGCAACAATTAACCTGCTACATTGTTATAACAACCTCGCTGGACAGTTATTGAGCCTTTGTGCATGAATAATGAAGAAACCAGTGTGCAATGGACAGATAACACTAATGTGACATCACAATGTTGATGCCCCACCATGTTGTTGGTGCTCCCAACATAGGTGTTGCAGTTTCAATGTATTGGCTACATTTTAATATTTTCAGATACTGCATGCCAACCATGAGCCCACGCAGGAGTGAATAAAAACAATATTAAACAGTTGATAAATAGCTATACATTAAATAGATTGGCATAACTAAAAGAATGAATAAATAACAAGTACACAACTGGAAAGTAATATCAATGTTCGGTACATATATTTTTTTTATACATCAGAATTGCACTATGACCAAAATATTTTAATATAAGCCACTCAAACAGACAGTCCAAGATATATTAAACTCGGATGCATTGAACTGTTCAGAAATACCCTTAAATTTCTCGTGCAATAGTATGGGGCTGGTGCATACATATACCGAACTCCCACACAGAAAGAAATTCGCTATATCGAACACTCTGCCGCGCTGAAGCCCAGAAAGTGCGTTTTTCTAACAAAAATTGATCACTGTCAGGTTACGTTCTAACAAGTTCCGATCTCTCTTCGCGCACAGGTGATGAAAAAGTGGTGTTATTCATTCGATTGATCTGGTTCGTTGCGCAACACTCGTGAGTGCAGCGGTACGTTTGATGCGCGATATGCACGTTTGAAAGTGCGGATCTGGTGTTTTTCAATGAGACCAATTGCCAAAGCCATCAAATGCGAAGTGACTTGGCGAGCTTGTTGCAACGTTCGCATTTTCTTGCTTGTTTGCATACAATGGCAGATGGGCACGAAAAGCATGGCCTTCAAGATGGGCAACCTTGGAGGCTATGTTTTTCTTGCTTTGTACAAGCAGCTGCCTGCTACAAAGCCACAAGTGCCATCGCTATCACCAACATGTTGACAGTGGAGACTCATTCCTTTCTTGTTCGTGGGCAGTGCTGTCTGTTGAGGCTTGTGGACTCCTCACTTTATTCCTACTAAATTCTTATTTGGAAGTCGAAATGAAAATTATTCTGCTCATAGTGATAAGAATTCCGACTGGAGTTTGGAGAGACGTCCAGTAAAGCACCACCGTGAACTGTTTCCTAATCGGCTTTGGCGCCGGGTGACAAATTGAGCAGCGTCATGACCGCTGACAACGGCGTACAGTGCATCAGAGAATTTTGCGACTTATTAGCACTCCCGGGTGCCATCTTGGGTGTGTGTAAAGCGAGTGAGACAATTTGTTTAGATGACGATGTAGCTGTTTCTGACTGCATCGATGCCCGACATTGCAGGTGCCGCGAAAGGTTTTATTGCGATTCATTCTCCGATAATCTGAACTCTCTGTGACAAAGTTGGTTGATAAATTCTAACCTGGATACTATCCTGCACTTCAAAGCTTTTGTAGACTTCAGTTCTAAAATACTTGTATAGATATGAAGTTCCCAGAGTATAAATACTGTAAATTGGACCCTTGGTTACAAACTACAAAAGAAGTGATGTCAATATTGTCTGAGCAATTAGTGTACTTGTAAAAACATTTCAAGTATGACACGAAATATAGGAATACTACAATAAAACAGGAAGCAAAATTCAAAATAATGTATACAGAGCAATGATACGGTGAATAATAAAAATAATATTAATATAGAAGGCATTAATAATAGCAACTTGCAGGGACAGTTGAGTTGAAATTGGCGTGACCCATCTATAAATACCAAAATTGACATTACTGAAAGTGAGGAGTGCAACATAAAGTACATGCAGCCCGGTAATCCATGGCTATTACCAGAAAAATTTGGTAGATTTCATTTTGTGAAGCTGCCCAGTTGAAAACTTATGTGGGTCTCACTCAGATGGCTGTTGTCTGATTTACAAAATTATGAAAATTGAATTGTTCTTTGCACCACCTTTTGTTTTGTTTTTTCCGTAAAGGTCTACACCCCCCCCCCCCCCCCCCAATATTTAAGGTGCGGGTGTAGGATACACACCAGAATAAAAAGAGGAAACAGCCTGTCTGTAATATTGAGCTATGCACCAACTAGCCCAACATTATGCGATATACTCATTCTCTTAGCGTTTTACACCCATTTACAAAAATACCGTATTTGCATGACTGTAGGTCGGCCTATTCGGTCTTAATTCAATATCTGAAGTTAAAGGGGCCGGTTTACAATCGAACTCGAAACTAGAGCTTTCTTTTTTCTTTTCTCTGCCCCCCCCCCCCCTCCCCTTCGAGCAATTTTAAGGTGGGGTCGACCTACATTCGAGAGACAACTTACAATTGTATATATATATTTCTGCAACTGCCAATATGAAGTGCCATTGTCAAAAGTTAAGAGGCAACATATGTGCACCTACCATATTTGGAGGTAACTTTCTTCTTCAAGTGCCAAAGAAGGCCTGGAGATGATGGTTGTGTCTTTTTGGCAGTAAAGTCTGCAGGAGCAAGAAAGTTGTTGCAGGTACACATAACTCTGTGGAAAATATACAAATCCCTCACTCAAAGCAGGCTAGAAAAAGTAGGAGTAAAAGGAGGAAAGGAAGAAAAAGGAGGCTAGCCAATTCTAAGACCTGCTGGCTAGCCTGTCTATCAAAAGTTATGTCCAGAAAAGTCACACATGTGCCTTGCAACATGAATTAAATATTGTGAATGCTCAGCAGTGTGTGCATGAGGACTGTTATAGCACGATCTCAGAACAACGACAAAGGACAAGAAGACGAGTCTTCCTGCCCTTAATCGTCGTTCTGAGCTTGCGCTACAACAATCATCATGACCTACCAACTAGCTCAAATTGCCACGCTTCCAAGAGTGTGCATGTTACAAATAAGCATTCGATTAGTAGCTAAGAAACAGACACATGTGTCCCATCAACGATCATCTAATCACTGCTCCACCTCTATCTGCACATGCAGAACTTCCAGCACAGAAGCAGATGCTCAACCGATTGGCCACCAGTGTGGCTAAAACTTTTCGTTTTAACTTTAAGCAGATGAACTAAACAAGATATATCATTATCTATGGCAGTCAAAAGCTTATTAATAGAGCATAGAGCTGTCAATCACTAAATGCATCACCCATAAAGCAATGTTCATACACAATGCTAAACCACCTCTTTTTTGCTGCTGCAGGGCACAAAGACAGCATTGTCAGGGGATATACTGTACTTACTCCGTGAAAATTTTATTTTATTATACTAATAACTTCTCTTGAGGTAACCACATCATGCCATTGTAAACCTGATTGCTAAGAGTTCTTGGCTCTGGTCTATATTTTCAAACCAAACTATGCTGATATGACACAAACTGAAGTCACTGGAAATGAAAGAATGTGCATTACTCAGCCATAAATTTCCCCATTTCAATTCATGAGCCTTATACAGTGCTCGTAAATTGCTACTTTGATCATAAAATATGTTAACCAATATAATTAAGGGTGACTAAAACAAGGTCATTGTGGTGACTAAGCTATTTGGCTGCACTGAGAATGGGGGTAATAGCTCTGTATAGGGTAGGATCAAGCAATAATATTGGTGCTCTTTAAAACCTTGAGCAGTGCAAAAGATGTACACAGACTTAATGTAATACACTAATGCCAACTGCGATAGTCCTTCCAAGACAAAATTTTCTGCATATGTGGTATCTGGCCTGTGTGATCCCAAAAGGCTGCACCTACACAATGAAAAGCATGGATGGTTTTAACACCATTTCTCAACTCTCACTACATTGTCATTAACAAAAATAAAACTCCAGAAGCACTTCAATGGATGTCCAGAATGTCTGCCCATAAAACTGTGGCTCATGTAGCTCACCTTCCTCGTCATATCGCGAGATGACCATAGATGCCCTTGGCCGGTTCTCTCGGCTCCGTAGGTTCCGATATACTTCACAGGCATACGTCAACTTGCCCTCCCGTAGGTGCCCCTTCTTGAACAAATACCGGTACATTCCCTGCACACGATGGAGTGGCACAAAATGGTTTTTGAGGTACTCTGACATCACTTTGTCTTTCAGAACAGCCAAAGCACGGGCGGACTTTCCCTTGCGCATTTTCTTCAGCTGCTCTCCCGAACTTGGTAACAGGTTCAGCGCAGTGCAGAAAAGTGCCTTGGTCTCCTCTTTTTCGTCCTTTGCAGTGCTACTATTGCGTGGGGACAGCTGCCATGCTGGACTTGAAGCACTGCTATTGGCTCCCTTCTTGATGATCAAGATGAGAGGGCTCTTAGTGGTGCCCTCTTTGGTGCCCCTTGGACTATGGCTCGTGCCTACTGGAGAGGCCTTTCCATCAGCTGCCTGCACAGTCGTTGCCGGTGAAGTGACATCAGCCAGGAGATTAAAGGTCTCGAGCTCTTCATATTCAGGTACTATGATTGGATACGCAATGTCTGAACTTTCTGGTGTCATTTGATTAGACCAGCAAAGCTGCTGACCGCTGCTTCCATTCAAAGCCTTCAGCTCCACAAACAGTTTCTCCACTTCGGCCTCATCCGAGATATCTATCCACTCTGACAGACCCTTGTTGGCAATATCGTCCATAGATAGGGGCTCCAGTATGCTCTGGCCAAAGTATTTGGCTAGATAGCTTAGGTCGCCTATTAACAAGTCGTCTAAGTTGATAAAGTCCACTTTGAGGCCCGATGGCACTTGGAGGCAGCCCGCCTCAAGTGGAAGAGGCTCATCTGCCACAGAGGGATGTGTTGACAATGTGGGTTCGGCCGGGGTGTTTACAGTTGCTGAAGCTTGCTTGGTAGTTGGAGATGTCTCCATGGGCTCTGTGAGATCCACAATAATCATTTTGGACTTCTTGCTTTCATCTTCGTCTACCCGCTGTACATTAGATCGGGGAACACTTCGCTGGATTGACACCGGGACAACTCGATTTGGCTCCAAAAGGGCCCTCTGCCCGGCAGCAGCAGCAGCTGCTGTGGTGCTTGGCTGCGCAATTTTATGTGTCATATTGGCGGCCACATTTTGAGCAGCTGCTTTTGACAGCTGTGCCTCTTTCGCTAGTTCGTCAGCGCCAATGGGTTTCATAGACATGGCAGGCCGTACCTGGGGATGAACTACGGCCATGTTCTTGAGACCAGTGATCACATCATTAGGAGCGGCATGAATGGGAGGGTCGACGAGCCTCACTCTTGTGGTAGCATTCTGAACAGAAACCACAGGTGGATTCTGATGAACACGGCCCCCATTGGCCACGAACGACAGGCTGTGCACGGGCTTGGGTAATATTTTGCGCGGTGCGATGATAGGTGCATTCACGACAGGCGATGATGGTGGTGCTCTCCTCTGCTCCAGATTATTAGGGATACCATGTTCTACACTGCCGGGAGGCGCACTAAGTGGTTCGGTCTGAACTATGCTATGAGGGGGCCTCACTTGTTCTGTATGTACCCTGAAGGGTGCAGACACCGGACTGAGCGAGCGTACTGTTACTGTCCCGCCAGACGTTCTTAACACCCGCACTTTTTCATTGGGGGCTAACTCAATGACTTTAAGCTCATTGTTTTTCTGCGTTAGGTGCTGGGCAAGTAGGCTCTTGTCGATGATAGGTTGGCCCTTGCTAGTTGCTACTGCTGTTCCCACTGCTGCTGCTGGACCCACAGCCGATTTGTTCAGTTGACGTCGAAGAAGCGAGTCATCGTAAGGCCTGGCATGTTGTTGCAACAAGTTTCGCACGCTTGTTGTGCCATCCAGCGTGACAGTCACATGATTATTTCTAGTCATCTGAACTGGAATAGGTGTGCTCGTTAAGGAAACACCAGGTGGCAGACGAATCTCGGTGCGAGTTGGAACTTGTCTCGCTGCACAACAAGAAAGCAAAGCGATTCGGCAAGATTAGTCGCATAAACAAAATTCCTGAATGGGTACAATCACGAACCAAGTACATAGTGAACTTCTGCAACCGAAACTGTCGGTCAAAGATGGGATAACCGCATGGTATACTGGAGCGACCCACAATAATTTTTTTCAGATCTTCAATGAGGATTCAAGAATGGTACATAGGCATTCTAGCATTTTCCGTGATCTACAGCTGAACTTTTTCTGAACAGTAAGCGAGCATGTCTGACAAATATGATTGTCTTTTTAACAGGTAATTTATTTACTAATTCTGTATTTAGTAGCTGAACTAACATTGTTGAGCACATGATCAGTGATCATCTGATTATGTCATATAGCCTTGAGGGTATTACAAATAACTAATTAATTAGGATGCTGCTTGATATTCTTTACTACTAGTGAGCGCGCTTCCTTATATTGGGGCAAGATATATGAACGCTGCCGTCGTTTCAACATGCTAATGCCTATGAGTGTCCCGTAGAGCTGTGCCCGGGTCTAATTTGAGAGCGCAAGCCCAGGCTGGGCCGGGCCGGGTGACTGCATCAAAGGCCCGCCTGAGCCCGACATTAGGGGGATGCGAGCCCGCTCTGGCCAACCTGACGTGCAAAAATTAAAGCAGTGGCGCAGCCGGGTCCAGCGGGATGTTATGAAAGTTTACCACGCAGACAAGATGTCGTTTTCCGATAATGTGTCTCCTTATGCAACATGCCAAACTGAAACATAAGTAGACGACGCCTTATAGTCACTATATGCCACAATTACAAGTCGCCGTGTAAAAATAAGGTGTCCAGTGGTTCGATTCAGTGAAGTTTGGCTCTCCTGTGTCCCATATATCTTGCCCAACTGAAGGTCTGTTCGCATCTTGCATTGGTTGCTCGAATTGCCAATATATTTTTCGGTAGCATAGCAAGCTTGGAGTACTTAGACCATTTGTTTTCCCAGAAGTTTACTACCCCAGATATAGGAGAGGGATTATTCTGTGTATGGATAATCACAAAGCTCATCTTGTGTGACTTCACCCTCTACCCTTGTGATTAAAGTGGTTAAAGCAAACAAAAACCGAGAAATGAGATGGAGGTGGTTGCAGAAATGACACTACGCGGGTAAAGCTGACACAGCCCGCCTGACAAGAAACAGTGAAGCCTGAGCCCAGCCCTGGCATGAGATGAGAAGACGTTGGCCCGGCCGAACCCTGCCCGCAAGTCGGTTTCGGGCTAACCGAAGCCCGTGCAGACATTTAGTATCCCGCACTGCTTTATAACAGTTTCAGTTCATTTCCTTAACACTGAGGTCCTCGGCATTGTATTCTCGTATTTGTGGGGAAATCAATGCAACTCACATGACGCATTGTTGAGGGTTGCTTTTGCAAGCATTTCTCGGTTAATCATCTTCCTTGCCTGTGTAACAAAAAAGCAAAAAGTATGAGCAATGAATGGACAATCTAGGACTGCCTTTCAAAGCAGAGTAGAAACTGAACACACCACGCGATACACCTACATTTGGCATTATTAGCACTTCGTGCCAGTATGCCAGAGGAGGTTGCGAAACTTGAAGTGTCAGTAGTTCTTCAAATGTCATACAAAGTAAGGAGATTATGGAAGCTGTTGCCCATTAACAACACTAAATTAATGAAATAATAGAAGAAAATTCAGCAAGGTAGAGACATTGGCGGTTTGGATTTGATGCATCTTGTACAATGTTAGCGCAAAAGGATGGAGCACGCGAGCAGTGCTCATCTGTGTCCTTCTTCTTCTGTTCTTATGCTCTGTCCTCTTCTGCCGACTTCGTAAAAGGAAACTTGGAAACAAAACCACTGTTTAACACTAGCATAAGAGAGTTCAATTTCTATATTTAGCACAAAAAAAAAAACAAGCAATAAATCAATAAATCAATCGTGGCAGGGTATGAATATGTAGTTTTTATAGCCAACAGCATCATGCAGCATTGGCCATAGGGTTCAAGTTATTGCCATGATGTCGCATTCCAACCGTAGCTACATGTCTAACTTTGATGGTGACTAAAAATTCGGTACTGAAGCTGCTGCTTTATGCGACTGCTCTGAATGCCATAAAACCATAACAAGCCCAACCATGACACTGTTCTCAGTAAAAGAAGAGAGCTGTGAATGGAGAAATCAAACAATGCTATATTTTTAATATTGTCGGTTGTTAGGGTAGTTTGTACATGACAGGAACGCGAATATCGGCTCGTACTATCACCGAGCAGCAGTGACTTGCATGTGCCCGACAGAGTTCTCTCATAGTGCAACTTTTGCAGTGTCATGCCTAGACTACGTCTTGCAAGAGGAAGAGGGCAATCAACACAGAATGTGTGCATGCTGCGAAATAACATATTTACAGTCTCTCACCTAAATATTGCCTCCTCCTGGTGAGTGAGACACCAAAGGAGAGTCAGGAATAAGCCCTGAAATTGGAAAAGCCATCACATGCCAGGAAGCTTGTCTCCAGATTTTTTTTTAAGGAGCTGTTGAAACTACCCGCGCAATAATGGAGGCAGAACCCTTCCTGCGAGTGCTGCCAAAGTCAATGGGAATATTATACAGGCTTTGGGGTGCAGGACATGACCTGCTATCCCCACTACTTGCTTGGCACAGTGTTCACCCAAAACTTTGGCTAAAGAGTGTTATTGGCACAGCATAAAGTTAGCGAGCAATGTTCACCACATTGTCTGTGAGAAAAAGCCAATGTCTAAAGGTATCAGAGCAGGTGTAATAAATTGAAAAGACATCCAAAAACATGGAGAAAATGTATGCAAGTCGAAAATGCAAAAATAAAGAAAAGGAACAACCCAAAAGTATGGTACCTCACGTGTCTGTTATGTGTGACAGCATATTATGCCTTTTTTTTCCCCAACGCCCTTATTGCTGCCTATGTTTCTCTCACCGTCACCCCCACATGGGGGAAAAGAACAGCACTACCTGCTGGAATGAGCAGCTGTTCACACACAGCTGCAGAGCTGGGGCGTGTGCAGTTAACAGGCTTGATAACTGAGACATATGTCATAAAAACTGAGAGAAAGCCTGAATGCAATAAAATTAATTGCTTCAAAGAAATATGCAGATTCTATTCTTCAAATGAGGCTCTCAGTTTAAAATGAAAAAAAAAAAAGTGAAAGAAGATACTATGGACTACACTCAGTGACAGACAAGGACCAAGCATAAGACTGCTAAGAAGGGGCACATGTACAAACGCACACCTAGGAAATACCTCGTTTAGAGTCTTAGAAGTGACACACCTTTACATTAACCTCTTTTCCACTTATCCTGTACTGGACATTGACACCACATGAACTGCAAAGCACGAGTGTAACTGCCACTGTAATACAGCTTACATGCAGTTGCTCAGCCTTTGTGATGAGGAGCGTAATGCTTTTTTTTTTTTTCACAATTTTACACTTGGAAGTTTGTAACTTAACTGTCAGTGCTAATCAAGCAAAAAATTTTGTATGCATGCTCGTATATGTTTTTTTTTTTCCCTTGATTCTACACAGTGTTGGAACAGTTATCTGGTAACTATAAAATAAATACCATTGAATGTGTACATTACCATGAAAGCTTTTGCTGTTTTCTGTGGTTTTAACACCGAATTTCTAGTTAGCCACCATATATGCTAGCAGTCTGGAGCCTCATGAATTTATGCATACAGAAAGCATCAAACACTAGTCTTGCACTTCACCTGTTTTGGCCATTGTTTTTACTTTCACGCATTGCCTGCACTACTTCACTTAACCTGTGCAATTTTTTTAAGTTCTCTCACACAGTTGCGGAATGACTCCCAGTGATGCAAGCATATAAAAGCCCCCCGTGGGATCCTGGCAGTGTAATGAGCACAGCCTTACATAACCCTAGGATCGTATGATAAGTGTCACAGTGATTGCTCGTATTGGAAATGGGTGACTTGCTGCATTAAGCTAAGCAACCCAAGTTGATGATTGATTGATATGTAGGGTTTAACGTCTCAAAACCACCATTTGATTATGAGAGACGCCGTAGTGGAGGGCTCCGGAAATTTCGACCACCTGGGGTTCTTTAACGTGCACCCAAATCTGAGCACACAGGCCTACAACATTTCCGCCTCCATCGGAAATGCAGCCGCCGCAGCCGGGATTTGAACCCACGACCTGCGGGTCAGCAGCCGAGTACCTTAGCCACTAGACCACCGCGGCGGGGCTAAGCAACCCAAGTAACACCGACCTTGTAGGCAGAACTGTCAATGGCTTGAAGAAGATAATAGTGTGTGCCAGTAGCACATGAAACACAAGGCAGAAGAGAGAGAGAGAACTGACGTGACCTTGGAATAGCAAGACTTGTACTCCAGCAATTGTCTCGAGGACGCGGGGTGGTGGCTTTGGCACTCAAAATGCGAAACGGAGCGGAGTGGCACTATGCCCGCCTAGACAACTCCTCTCCATCCCACTGCTGTGCACCCAGGTAATTGATGGCGGATAAAAGTGAAGACAATGCCCCGATCCTGTACTACGGGGACAACTTTGCCCACAATGTGTCAGCACTCTACGAGTCCCGTCCTCCGCTACAGTGGCAACCCAGATACTGAGATTAGTAAGCCACACTAAGTGCCACAGGAATTTCAACATTTACACGCACATAGTAATGAACTTTACACAGTGAATAACGTGCCTTCAACCCTTCCTTAAACGCACACAAGTTTAGGGTATTAAGAATGGTACTTGTAATTAATGCAGTTCATAACTGTTATTTCTTTTGTCTTGGTTAATATTCAAGTATTTGCCTCATGCACCGAGAGACGACCCAACACGATGGTCTACCAGTTATGGAGCTTGAATGCTAATGAGCGCAATGCTAGAGGGCCATGTGTTTCGACTTAGGGGCACTTCAATGAACATCAGAAGGTCAAAATTTCCAGAGCCCTCCATAACAGTGTTTCTCGTAATCATATTGTGGTTTTGAGGGATAAACCTTCACTATCATTAATATGCACCAAAAAATTTAACAATCATTCTTTCAGTTACCTACACACACAGCTCTTTTGCAGAGTGGTGGAAACAATGGAACCACGGTTTATAAAAATATTGCTCATGGTCACTTTCGCAAAAGGTTGTCACATGTGTCTAAAGCATAAAAAATTGCAACAATAATTCAGTCCCTGAAAAATCCAGTACAAGCACAGAAATACTGGTCGGTGTAAACAAGGTGATGATTTATTATGTAGCATATTATGGTATTTATCACACAAGCGATACCAATATATCAATCAATTTGTTATGCAACTCATCGAGCATAAACAACACAATTCAGCATGCAGTTTGGAAGACGTGAGATGGTTTACCTTTTATTGATTTCCAAGGGTAGAAAATACAGTCGCTGTGTCACCTTACATGGCCTTTCATATTTGCGGCGACACGTAGCGGCCACGTGAGGGCGAATTCATCTGAAACCATAGGGTAGGTCGTGAAGACAGCCGTGTTCCACTGACAGGAGCAGTATGCGATGCTTCAACCAACCGCTGGGTTGCCAGCAGCCAAATGCCACAACACGTAGATCGAGTGTGCAGAATTTTCCTAACGTTCTCCATTCAACGTAATGCTGCGAAAAATGTCAAGGACGTGCGCTCACTTGGTACACATCAGCGGAACACACGAGCCCTGCTGGCGAGGAAGTATCGCAAAACACCATCAGCACAAAATCACCACTGCGTTCCAAGTTTTGGCAGTTCGGAAAGCGGCAGGCTGCCAAGGTTCTGTTGTTGCGCACCGCAAGAGCGCTTACGTAGCCTTCCTAACGCGTTTTATTGAAGCACAGCTCAAGAGCGCATCGCCGAATGGCGAATACCTGTCGCACTGTTCCTTCCCGCCGCGGACGGGCAGTCATCAAAGGCCTTGCACGGGAAAACCATGCGATGCGGTTCAAGGCTTCCAAAGAAAGAATCTCACGCACGTAGCCGCTTGGCTAGAATGGAGCGCAGCTCCCGTTTTCGTAGAAGTCTCATCTACTTTCAGAATATCGACGAAGGACTCCCCGACCAAGTTGAACAGAAATGACAAATTCTGGGAAGCATATACATGTTCGCCAATTTATCTTTCGTTCTTCACAGTGCGTAATATGCTCTTTATTTTCATTCATTAGCAGCGTGAAACAAACCGCTGAACGATACCGGTTCACCTCGGGACCTATCAACTACAGATTAACACACCTGAGGGCTACTTCAGACGGCTATCCCCATTATTGACGGCGTTATACATCAATATAGGGCAACGACCACCAACACACAAGGAAAGGCCTAATCCGCAGCAGGAAAGCAGTAAATTGATGAATAAGGCAGGAGATACATGCTCACACTTTCAGCGATCTTGCTGGTCACAGATAATTTCAAGTGCGACGTAAACAAGTGAATAAGCAGTCAACTTACATGCCAAACAAGGTCACTACCAATCGTGGGCTACCCTGGTCGGTGCCGCTGGTACTCGCCAAATTGCTAGTTTACTTCGCCCGCGTGACAACGGAGGGCGCCACGCATACCGTCGATGCCGTTGATTTTGTGCGCCTCGTGGGGAAGCAATCCTGGGCGTTTGGATAAGGTACGGTATGGCATAAGATGACTGTATGACGAGCACGTTACTAGTCATAACATGAAAATCACGATATGTCATGATTTACATGTCATGGTCTTGCTGCTCCTGCGGTGGTTTCGTTCACATGACATATTGCAAAACTCATGGAGGAAGGGAAACAAAAAACTTCCTCGATAGCAAAACTGGTATGGCATGACATGACTGCATGGCGAACATAAGTGACAAGGCCTCATGTGGAAATCATGGCATGCGTGTCATGTAATACCATGACTACATGATGCGCTCGCGGTCGTGTCACTAGCTTTACATATACCGAATTTAATGGAGGATGAAGGTATGTGACTGGTGCAAACATGTGACTGGCCAAAGGATCAACTGAGTGAGCCAGCGCCCCTGGCTCGTGCTCGTGCCAACCGCCCCTTCTTCCTCATTTATTCGCTACACACTCCCGCGGCCGGCAAACTCGCGGCAATGTTCGGGTGCACAGTGGGGAAAGTTGAAGCGCACATTGGTGAGCAAGACGACTGAAAATAGCGCTAAGAAACGGGGACACAAGAAGAGGACACACGGCACAGTCCAATTTCGCTAGGTGTGCAGAATACTTCGTGCTCATGTTGTTAGCCATCTTGAGGTCATAGTAGGGGCTTTTGCTCTTCTTGCGTCTCTTGTAGTATGATGATTCTGATTTTGGCCTGATTTTGTAGACTCGCGAGGTTTTCCGGTAATTCGCGCGCTCCTTGCGAGTGATTTTAACCTGCTGCTCCTTGGTGTTGCATGTGAAGCTTCTGTAGCTGCTGAGCGATCATGCGCTGCTTGACCACTTCGGTTGTCAGGTAGTCCGGAGCGGATGTCTCGCTCGCAGGTGCATCCAAGCTGGATGAAGACTCCGAGGTGAATGACGATTTTTCTTCTTCCTTGTTCGACAAGGATCATGAAGACGCCGAAGCGTCCTGGTTCCATCGGGTAGTGACGTCGGCAAGAGCGGTAATCTCGGCCGCGTTCGGAGGCAGTTGAGATTCGTCTACGTGCTCTGTGGCCGGTAGCCGATTGCCGACGTCCGTCCTGGCATCGGGAGCGACATGGCACACGTACAGCTAGCTGACGTTTTCTGGTGCATCAATCTGAGTTATGACGGCGTTTTCGGAGATGTCTCTGCAGGAGCCTTCAGACGACTGGCAGATCACGGTGGATCCCGCTTGGCGAGAGCACTCCTTTGTGCCGGATCCCTGCATAATGCGCATGGCGTAGTGCTGGAGCTGTGCGGTGTGGCGCTCGTACATCCAGCGCATGTCTCTGGCGTCAGGCGCCATCTGCTTGTGACGTTGTGGCGTTGTAGACGGTCATGGGGTGCATGTCCTAAATTGAGTGTGGCTCGTAACGGCGCTGCTGCTCGCTGCTCTGCGGGTGCACGGGGCCACGCGTCGGGTAGTATACGTCCGTTTGCTCTCTTCGTCTGGGAAGTGGGACTGCTTTCGCAAGCTGTGGTTCAGGCCGTGAGAAACCCGAGTCCTTGTAGTCCATGCTCATGGTGCATCCGGTGTTTCCCTTGGCGATCGAACTCTCTACGGCGTATCTTAGAGACATGTCCTGTACAAAAGTGCCGTGTATGGCGTGGAAAGCGACGGGTTTTTCTGCGTATACCCAAAACTCGTTGGAGTTGTAGTTGGCGTTGTAGTCGTGAGGCCCGTCGAAAGCGAAGTCGCAGCCTTGGACGACAAGGAGGCGAAAGGAGTCGTAAGGCCGGTCGCAAGCGAATTCGTGGCCTGCGGCGACGTTGAGGTGAGAGGAGTCGACAGACCGGATGAAGGCGAAGTCGCTGTCTGGTGCGACGTCGAGACGAGAGGAGTCGTGAGGCCGGTCGCAAGCGAAGTCGCGGCCTGCTGCGATGTAAGTATGAGAGGGGCCGTGAAGCCGGTCAAAATCAAAGTTGCGGCCCGAGAAGGGATAGTGGTTGACCCTGGTGCATGATCTTGTTGTACCGAGGCGTTGTTGGTACGCTGTGAGCAGTTCGTTAGGTTGTTGATGTCGCACAGAGAAGTTAGATGGCGTCCCGCGCATCGGTCGCATTCCAGGGTTCTGGCGGTGCGGCAATCATTGGCGAAATGGTTGCATTTTCCGCAACGAATGCATAGCTTCTCTTCGTGAAGCCGCTTCCGCATCTCTTCCTGAGGTAGACGTTCGAAGCAATCCTGGACAGTGTGTTCGAGAGAGGTACACAGGACGCAGGGGTGCGAGTATGGAGATGGACCTTCTGCTGCTAAAGACGTAGTGGAGGGCAAGGGCGGCTGTGGTGTCCACAAGTCTCGCTGCGAAGACCTCCGACCTGTTGATATCTGTTCCTCAAGACCACTTTCTTCCCGTATTTCCACTTGCACTTTCATGAAGCTCAGAAGGTCTTTCACTTGTGACCAGGCTTCCTGGGATGCCGCGGCATTCTCAGTTGGCATGGCTTCCTTCTGCCATAGGTGATAGAGTATACTGAGGTCCAGAGGTAACTCCTTTGAGAGAACACACCGCAGCACCGTGGCATACTCGCCTGGAGATGCTCCGAGACCTTCCAGGGCGTTGATGCGGAATGTGGCTTCATCATGTAGATTTCTTAACAGAGTTACGTCTGCGGAACTTCGGACTAGTGCGTTTGATAGCAAACTGTCGAGATGGTCGTCGAGTAGCATGCCGTGACGACCGAAGCGGTCCGACGGGATCTGAATGGCGACGTCATAGTTCGCTTCGGCCAGGCGAATACTTTGAATGGCTGCCTTCACTGCCCCATTCAGGCATGTCCATAAGTGTTGAAATTTGTGCGCGGAATTGAACTGGGGCCCTCTAAATCGCGAGTGCGAGGCGTTAGCCACTAAGCCACGGAGGAGCACTGTCTTCGCAATATTTTCCGTATTTTGAATACCCTCTACCGAAAACGAGGAAACCGCAAGTGGACATGGAGGAGTCCTAATGGCGAAAATAAGAACGAAATAGACTTTTTAATGAGTGCACACCCAGGCATCGGGCAGGATGTGGAAGTTGTTGGCAAGGCACGATGCAGTGACCATAGAATGGTACGGTCTCTAATTCGCCTAGACTTGAAGAAGGAACGACAGAAACTGATACGCAAGAAGCCAATCAATGAGTTATCACTGAGAGGGAAAGTACAGGAATTCCGAGTCTCGCTTCAGAACAGGTACTCGGCTCTTAGTGAGGAAACCAACCTTAGCGTTGATACAATGAATGATAATCTGACGAGTATCATTAGGGAGTGTGCAGTGGAAGTTGGAGGCAGGGTAGTTAGACAGGACACTGGCAAGCTTTCCTAGGAAACGAAGAATCTCATTAAGAAGCGTCAAATCATGAAAGTCTCAAGTACAACAGACAAAATAGATCTCGCAGAGCTTTCCATTGGAGGCGGAAATGTTGTAGGCCCGTGTGCTCAGATTTGGGTGCACGTTAAAGAGCCCTCAGTCCCCAGCAGCTGCGAAGCAACTGACCACGGCGGCGGTCAGATCTGCAACGCAGCAGAGGGTGCTAAGAATCTCTGGATCCGGACAGGCCGCCATTGGAACCTGAACTTGGCAACCTTTAACGCTAGAACCTTATCTAGTGAGGGAAGTCTAGCTGTACTATTCGAGGAGCTAGAGGGTGTTAAATGGGATATAATAGGGCTGAGTGAGGTTAGGAGGACAGATGAGGCCTATACGGTGCTACAGGATGGGCACGTCCTTTGCTATCGGGGCTTGGCAGACAGAAGAGAACTGGGAGTGGGGTTCCTAATTCACAGAAACATAGCTGGCAACATAAAGGAATACTGTAGCATTAATGAATGGGTGGTAGGTATCGTAATTAAACTGAATAAAAGATACAAAATGAAGGTAGTACAGGCTTACGCACCTACATCCAGCCATGATGACGCTTCAGTTGAAAGCTTCTATGAAGACGTGGAATCGGCAATGAGTAAGGTAAAAACACAATATACTATAGTGATGGGCGACCTTAATGCAAAGATAGGAAAGAAGCAGGCTGGAGACCAGGCAGTAGGAGATTACGGCATTGGTACTAGAAACGCCAGAGGAGAGCTACTAGTAGAATTCGCAAAACGCAATAATTTACAGATTTTGAATACCTTCTACCGAAAACGATAAAACCGCAAGTGGACATGGAGGAGCCCTAATGGCGAAAATAAGAACGAAATAGACTTTATAATGAGTGCCCACCCAGGCATCGTGCAGGATGTGGAAGTGGTTGGCAAGGTACGATGCAGTGACCATAGAATGGTACGGTCTTGAATTCGCCTAGACTTGAAGAAGGAACGACAGAAACTGATACGCAAGAAGCCAATCAATGAGCTAGCACTGAGAGGGAAAGTACAGGAATTCAGAGTGTCGCTGCAGAACAGGTACTCGGCTCTTAGTGAGGAAACCAACCTTAGCGTAGATACAATGAATGATAATCTGACGAGTATCATTAAGGAGTGTGCAGTGGAAGTTGGAGGCAGGGTAGTTAGACAGGACACTGGCAAGCTTTCCCAGGAAACGAAGAACCTAATTAAGAAGCGTCAAATCATGAAAGTGTCAAGTACAACAGACAAAATAGAACTGGCAGAGCTTTCGAAGTTGATTAATAGGCGTAAAGTATGCGATGTAAGAAGGTATAACATGGAGAGAATTGAACACGCTCTGAAAAACGGAGGAAGCGTCAAAGCAGTGAATAGGAAACTTGGCATAGGCAAAAGTCGGATGTATGCACTAAGGAACAAAGAGGGCAAAATAACTACCAATATGGATAGGATAGTTAAAATAGTGGAGGCGTTTTACAGAGATCTGTACAGTAGCCGAGACAAACACGACCTTAATACTATAAGAACTAGCAGTAACCCAGATGACACCCCACCAGTAATGATAGAAGAAGTCAGAAAAGCTTTGGAGAGCATGCAAAGAGGCAAAGCTGCTGGTGAGG